AACATAAATGACCTGTTAATGTAACCAGTCCTGTCTAGAATGTTTAACTTACTAGGACAATGGAAAATAGTTTATCATTCTTAGGAATTTTTACCTTTTAGCATTGCTTTAGTGTAAACTAGTTGAGAAAATGGTTTGATTACAGTTCTCAATCGTTTTGAACACGGGGATATTATTTGACAGTAGAATCAAATGAATCACCATTGAAAACAAAATTGCATTGGATGCTTATTTCATCATTGTTCGGAATATATTCATTCATATTATTCAACAATGAATTGGTTACCTGGACTAAGTTAGAACATGTAAAAACAGTACACTGATTCACTTCTTCACAAAACAACATGGAAACTAAAGAAATGATGAGTCAGATTACTAAAAGAAGCAGAGAAATAACACCCGATGGAGGGTATGGATTAACTATGTTGCATATTCACATACTGTCGCTAACCACTAGTTTCTAACTGTCCAACTAGTGAAATGAATTTTTGAGTGGGGATGAACTCCACACTGTCCAGTCATCTAAGTGTATAGCAGTCAGTAGTAGCGGTTATGTCTTGGTTTATTTGGTCACTTATTGTAAATATTTCGGAATGATTTCTGCAATAAAATTAATTGGCATATGTGGATTACGAGAGCGAAACTAATAATACTCGCTTCATTTTGATTAGTTGCCAGGCGCAAGATCAAAAGGGCAAATGACAGTGGAGTTTATCCTAAGTCGAATGTGCTTCATACCAGTAGTTACTTATTTGGTGTGCTAGTAGTATATCTCGATTTGACTATTATGAAGTCCTTTCATTTACGACGATAAAGGATATTCAACAGAAGCGAAATGAAATAAATTCTGCGATAATACTTGAATATTGATTCAGTTTAAATTTCAGTGTCCATATACTTTGTGTCTAATCGATTCACGTATGGAACCGTAAGTCTTTTACTACATTGGATGTAGGATTCAGTCTTCTGAAGAAAGACTCAGATCTAAGTTTATCCGGAACAGCAACCATGACCAACAATAAAATAAGTGAGAACACTAAAGGAATTGTCTAAAAACGTTAAGCATGCACTCCAGTATTTTCAATATAATGTTATATCGGTATACGTTTTTCATATAGTTTCTGCAGATTTGCTTTGGCTCCAAATTTGAAACAGTTCTGCACACAGCATCATTGGTTGCAGCATTAGGATGATAGACAAGATGGCCGTCATGACAGTGTCAATAAAAGCTGGGGTAACAGTATGTGGCGAATGATACTCACGTAATGTGTCAGAAATATGTATGTAAAATTATATGGATCCGGATGATGTGATTTCACCTGGATATACTATGATTGCGTAGACTGAGCTGTTTCGTGCATATTTCAAAGTGGATTAATGCATAGTTCATACTAAACTCGAGTTTTTGAAATTCACTTTAATCTTTATGAGGTAAAGAGGGGAGCTAGTTGCCATAGCAGTTTCTGTGATTACCTTTTTGTATTAAAATGTTGATCACACTTGGCTTTTATTTCCTCGAATGTTTGTTCACAGAGCTGGACAGTCTTCTTGTTGTGGAATGACTCAAATAAAAGGCTTTTGAGATTTCCTGACCGATGGTTTACTTTTTGCATTTATCATTTGAAAGTCACTTTTGAAACAAGTAAAAAAAATAAATTTACATGTAAAATTAATAAAATTGTAACTATTTATTAATCTACAAAATACTAAAAGCATTTTAGTTGTATATGATATACCTTTGCCTGAAATGATGACGGCATTTATTAACAGGGCTTTCTCGGCTTCATCTAGCATTTAAAGAAGTGCAAACTGACTAAACGAGTACTAATTTATGTGAAGAAAATGTACAAGTCACTAAGCTGTGTGCGAGAAAAGAAACCATCCATCATATTCTGACGGAGTACAGTTCAACTTCTAGGGTTAGATTTAGTTTATAATCTAAACGCATTTCATCTAGCTCTTTTAACGCTCACAAAATATTGATGTGAACAATTAGATACAGGTCACTTTATTGGTGGTTGATCGGTTCTTGGGCATAGTTATATAAACGTCATTAAATTGACCCAAACTGATTAACTTGGCTGGTTTGATATCATGTCTCGGTCTGACTAAATTAGTTTACTTCAGAATAAATTATATATGAACATGCGGAAGACATGTACAGACAAATAAAACCCTGCAAACTGACATCTGCATTTCCAACTTATCGGCATAAGACAAGTAACTAATGATGATTTGGACAATATATTTATGGTCTCATCTAAACATTAAAGAAGGATTATTTTATAACTTCATATCACTGAATTACATGTTGAAATAGTGATTCAAAATTCAATATTTCAACAGTAACTGTAAAAGGGAATTGAAACTGTCAAGATTGTGTTCAATCTATATTGTTAATAGTCGGCCATAAACAAGTCATCAAATATCGGTGAACATTTATATTGCGGTTAGACTGATAATTGTTATATAGTCACTTAATTCTTGATAAAGTAGAATATTTCAAAACAATGTTTTCATCATAAATATCTATCAAAAACTTAACAACAGCATCAATATCAAGATTGGATATGATAGTTTCAAATAAATTGAGTATTGGTGGAAAGTTAGTGATAGATAAATATATTTTTGTTATGTCCCAATGAGTAGAAAAATGGTGACTTACATTAAGTCACGAAATGTCAGAAATACAACAAAAATATATTTATTTATTATTGACAACAGCGTTACTGTTATGATAACTATAAGCACCTTGTAGTGTTCTCATTTTTCCATATACGGTGTTCTATGAGCGTCCTTATACTGAGTAAACCTTGAAATAACACCATAAATACAGTACTTGTTCCAGATACAATTTTCGGATCATCCTAGATAGTTACGATAAAAATATTTTGTACACACCATTCGCAAAGATATGAACATAGCCTACTGTGAGAATCTATACCCACTATAAATTAAACATACTACTAATAAGATATGGTTTTTTGTGAAATTTGTAACAATTAGTTATTAATATGTAGGAATCTTTCACTGGAAACATCTCACTACACTATATTTAATATGATCTAAGCACACAAATGATTGTTATATGGACAGGTGAAACTAATTGTTTCATATTTAACATCTTATTGAGCAAAATGCTAAATACGGAATAATGGAACATATATATGATACATACAGGATCACACCATGAGTGGAATAGATGCACAATCAAATGAATCTACGATCGATGAAACATGTATACAGTACTACTAAGAAAAACTTGAAAATCAAACATAATTAAGTGACCTTGGAATTGAGCACTTGTAAAATAACCGTGAGGTAAGAGAAAAACTATTGTTGAGTTGTAAGAAATACAAAAGTAAACTTTGCTGTGTGATACACTAATTAAGTAGGTGACTCACTACAACTTCTCAATGTTATTTAACCGATTTAACATCATGTGTTCAGCCAAATTATAACCATTAGCTAGTGCTTAAACGATGCATACACTAATTGGTGAAGTTAAAGGGACACAAAACACTGGACACTATGGCAACAATCTCATTCACTTCATTAAATGAAATATTCTTATTTAAAGAAAGCCTAATTTCACATGAGTCAGTTTAAGGTAACTAAAAAAATTAACCTTATAAAATAAACAATAAATTCCAAATGGACGGTGACTAATGCATAAAATAATGAATTCAGTATAGTAAGATATAGACCAACGTTCCTACGGTTTTAAGCAACATAATGAGTAGAAAACTAACTGGAAACAACTTTGATTCCTTTAAATATGCACCTGATTTCTGCTATTACTAACCAAAAAGGGGTTGACTGAAATAATCTGAATTTACTAAGAGAATCAGATAAATAAGAATTTAAGTAACATGTAAAGGTCGATATAAAAATTATCATCTGGAGAACCTGCAAATGTGATTATTGTTTAAACTTTTTATAGATATAATTGTCTGCCTTCCACTTTCCGATGATAACACTAGGATTTTCAGACTAATAATGCTTTCTGATAATAAATACATTAAGTTAGAGTCTCAGTGCGAGCATTAACACTGTAGACACATACAGGATGAAACGCGCGTCTTGGATTACATTGATAGCCTTGATGCAAATTTATTAAGACTTGTAACTAAATGAACTACCAAGCTAGTCAGCTAAGAATGCATATATGTTAGTAGAGATTGATCAAATGTAGCGCTAATATCGACAACGGGAAAACTCCAACTCATCCACTGAAATTTAGTTTAAGAATGACGATATTCGGCCAGTGTGACGCCTTTGTTAAAAAAGGTTCGTGAAACCATATGTGCTGATATTTACAGAACTCTAGCACCATACAGCACCTGCAAGTAACACGCTGAGTCTCGTACTACGTTTATGCTACACAGTATTCTGTTTTAGATAGGAAGTAACACACATGTCATAGTTGTCAGCACTAGCTTGTTGTGGAATCGAAAAATATATAAAATTTCAGTTAAATGCTGACAGGATGGGGAGTTCCGGATACGTAACGCGACATCTCAAGATCACAAGGTTTGTGGCTTGTCCATTACTTCGATGATATATATATATATATATATATATATATATATATATATGCATGCAGCGTGTATATCAGTATTCGACTTATAACATCGAGATTATAACGCATCCGTACTCTGCATAGCTGATTAGAGAAGCGTTAGGAAGCATGTAATAGTCATCGAATCAAAGCAAAGGCCATGATCGACATAATGTTTTGGGTAAAGCGGATCCATTAGACGTTATGAGTGGAAAGCCACGAACCATGAAGAGAATATGATTTTTATTTTCTTTTCAAATCTTTCCTTTGGCGATATAATGTGTAGCTATTGAATTGACACATTTACTCCAGGTGCTAAGTTATTGGGAGTCCATCCAAGTGATGTCCACAAAAATGGTTACATTTTATCATAGGAATCAGTTCAGCACGTAATTTTATACGCAGGCTTTTTCTCTAACAATCATATGAGAAGTAGGTATAAAGGCAGTATTTTAATATATCAACTATTTTAGTCGATACAAACTAACAATAAAATCAATTGATTTGTCCCGTTAATATTCAAGTTTTATTTAAATTCAACATTACCCACTGAGTAGAGGATAATGAATACCGAAAAAAGAATAATAGGCATTTTGGTTAGGTAAAAGTGAACCCAAGTTAATTGTGGACATTACATTTATACTCACATATACACAAAAAACAAGACAATCATTTCGTAAAATCTACCTTTAAAATGATGTAACTAAAAACTAACAATAAACATGTAAACAAAACAAAATAGGCGAACAATTCTAAAGATGTCATTCATAAACAAGCAAGAAAGAGCACACCAGATGTGCTTTATTGTAAAACACTTACTAAACAAAAATAGTATACAGTAAGTTAACCAAAAAAGCACTGAACTAAATTTCTATCATAAATTGCTGTTATACATCGTTCAAATATAGACACATGTAATTATGGAATTAAAAAAATGACATTTTAAATTACATTCAGTTAAACCATATAGGGGACATAAAAAAAGCTAAAATAAAACAAACTATTCATAATGGTTTTTGCGAAAAATGTTGGTCACCGGCTACCATATGACTGCATCTTTTTACGTTACTCCACTGCCTTGTGGATTAGACCTCTAGATCAAAGGCTCCGGGTGTAACCTACTAAGAAAACCACCTTCTTCTGTCTGGGTAGTATCACAATCCACACACAAATCAAGTGACTTGTGTGTCGCAAATGTATTCGATGCCACTAGTACCAATATTTATGTGTTCAAATAGGTGAATAAGAATTATCACTATTACTTAGCGAATTACTTATCAATTTGTTCATAAGATATTGTTTAACTTACTACCTATGAATTGATAAATGATAGCGTGGTGTGTGTTACTGATGTTGACAGATATAAGTAGTATGTATCACCAATCAAAAGTGAAATGCCTGACGGCAGAGGGTCAAGAAGATCGAAGAAAAGAGAACGAGAACAGAGAGTAATTGGTGTGGAAACGAAGAAACAATCAAGTCTGAGACAATTGATAGACATTTTGCAAGTGGAGTATTTGCTGTATGGTTCACGAATTTTACTAAGAGATTTTGTAATTTTATATTCACATGTATTTGGTTGTCTCCACTGGTGTTCTCGTTTACTACAATACTTTCTTATCTAACTATATCTCCTCTAGTATTGACTGATCACAGAAATGTATAATATTTGATGGAAAATTGATGAAAATGTTGAACTGAAACGAAAAACATTTATTTTGTTTATAATCAAATTTATCTCTATATAAAATGTAAACCGCACAATAAAAAAACAGACAAACAATAGAACGGATAAATAATAATCCGATAAAGTAATGAACATAAGTACAAACAAAAAAATATTAAAGAGGAAAATATAGATACAAGTAATACAAATATATAATAATGAACAAACGGACGAACACCCATCTGCAGGTAACTAAATAACGAAAGAAAAAAGAATGAATTAACAATAAAACGCAATAGATTATGCCTTTGTTATTTTATACAAGTTTTAAGCCAATCTATTTTTTTCGCAAATATGAAGCACGTATGTGCGACCAAATATGATAACGCTTTTTTATAGATATGCATATTTCTGACGATTCAGGCATAAACCGCCCGTATAGTTTATGTGGATTTAATTTTTTATTATTATTGAGATCAGTATTATTAATCTCAACAGACGGAAGACTATTTGCTTCTAACTGAAGTCGTTTGTGTACAGCTTCAGTTGCTGCGGAGAAACTTGGCCATAAACCTAAAAAGATAGATAAAAGAAAGGCTGGCTAATAAACTAGTTAGGAAGTGATTAACAAAGATATCAACGGTAGTTTCACAAACTGGACAACCATAATCAGAATAAGCGTATTCATCCTAATATCACAAAAAAAAACGCATTCATCATTTCCAAAATGATAATGATTTGAAGATATTTATCAGTCTCTGTGATCTGAGCGTACCTAACGTAAGAACGTTATGCGAAATTTCAGTAAACATGTGATTTTCATTTAGAATTAATACAGTAATGTTTTGTTCTGTATGATATTTCTTGATATAGATGACGTAGAAAGCTTAGATAATTAGTTTGACTTATATTTAACTGCGATGAAAAACATTGTAATAGCTGGAAATGACAATAGACCGGAATAATCGTGTCTTATGCCAAAAATATTTTCCAATGACTTCATTATGAAATGAAATCTCCAAAATTTATCAAGAAATAAAACACACTTCTAAAGAAGTTTTCTCCGTTCTACCAACATTATATTCCCGTAGGTCATATGACATGTTAATCACATTTGTATTTGTTAACTAGGAAATGTAAAAGGTGCACATGGCATATAATAATTGACGATTAGCGTTACTGAAATATGTTCTAACAATGTTATGAATAAAAAGCCTTGAAAATTGTAAATGATGGATGTAGAGGTGGAAAATTTTGTACATCATTGTGAAGATCTGTCATTCCCTTTAACTTTACATTACTGTATTCAAATTTCGATGTTCATAGTTGAAAGTCAAAATTTTATGTTTTGATGAGGATTTGTTTATCTATACATCATTGATGGTTCAGGTGAGATTCTGAAACGGGAAAAACGACCTAAGAAAAGCTTCAATAAACAGCCGCTACGTAATAGCCTACTGTCCACAAACTCAAATTAGCGTGAGAGCTGCCGATTATGAGTACAGAAAGATGATGTTTCATATCCTCTTTATATGTCGAATGTAGTTCATTTAAGTTCATGGTATTTAATACCTGAGATAATGTTATGTACTTTGATATGTAAAAAGCTTCTGGTAAGAACTAGCTTCGGTTATTGCTACCGAGACCAGTGAAACACACTATTGTGATACTTATTTATTTATTTTAACACATAGATATTGGTACAAGGAGGCACCAAATACATATGCGCCACACAAATCACATTTGATATGTGTGAGGGCTGTGATACTGCCCAGGTGCCCAAACCGAAGCAGGTGGTTATCTTAGGGGGCCCCATTACCGGAGCCTTCGACTGGAGGTCTGATCCACAAGGCAATGGAGCACCGTAAAAAGATGCAGTCCCATAGTAGCCGGTGACCAACGATTGGTTCATACGCCATTTGTTCCAACACGATACTGCAGCCCATGTGCACCATTGGTTTGGAATCAGGGTTTTCTAACTCCCCTAGGTGGACTCTCCTTGTCACCAACCCGGTTAATGCGCCGGACATTCGCTTTTCGTCCTCTTAATTTCGTAAACAACATCTCCGCCACGATAAGGCAATGAGTAGGACTTCCCTGGCAGAGGCTATATACGCGTGGCCATGTGAGAGCATTTCGAGAGGGAGAGCGGATTCTCCCCACCCTCGAACGTACCAGGCTATTTGGGGACAATTATTGTGATACGGGAAAAAATATTTAACTTTTCAGTATAGGGTTGTAGAGATTGTTGAACTTCATTGCAATTATGAACCAATGTTAGACCATTAATAGCCCAGAAGGCCGTTTCGTCCCAGTGTGACACTCCTCAGTAGTACCTAACCACGACCCCGCACGAGAGAATAGAAGTCAAGACCTTCGGTTTCACGCGCGAACACTTAGCTCCCAAACCAATGAGTGGGCATCCAACGATGTTATTATATAACCTAAATTAGTCCACGAGGGAAGTTTACGGAGTTCTGTAGAGGAGCCATGACCAGTGGAGTCCAATCCATGTCGGGTGTGAAACAGTTATCCACCTAATGTCGTGGATTGATTGAGGTTAGACATCAACACCCTCGTATAGACTCATTGGTCTAGGGAGTAAGTGTTCGCGCGTGAGACCGAAAATCCCGACTTCTATTCCCATGCGAGGGGTTTTGGTTAGGCACTACCGAGGAGTCCCATACTGGGATGAAACGACCTTTCAGGTCTTTTGGGCTTTTAATGATGGTCTAACACTTATTGATTTACAATTTCAATGAAAAATATTGTAAATTTTCTGATTCTTCATATAAATTTCGAGAGTCGGAAGCGAAAAATGTTTCATTTGAATGGAATTAGAATTAAAATGAGATATATGTTTGATGTTAAATTCCTATTCATCAATGTTAGGGCAAACACGTAATATGCTACGCATAAATTAATCTCCGTTCAAATTTAGTAAGGAAACAGGTTGAATACATTTCTTTTTAAAAATAGTTTATTAACAGAAAAATCGAGTGATTAACACTGTCTTTTGTGTGAATGCAACTTAAAGTATCCAAACCACAAAATTTAGAATAAAATTCTAACTTGTGACAAAATAAGTGAAACACAAATGTCGGAAACAACAAGCCAGAAATATACATATAGAGAAATATCGACAAAATCTAGAGTGGACCATCTCGCTTCTCCAAATACGTAACTTAAAACCTAATTTGTCTAAAATGTAATGAAGAACAGAAAACATATGGGGAACATTGAGTGACCTGACTGTAATCTTGGTGTGATTTTATCACGAACTAGTGAACAAGCAAAACATTGAAAGCCATACTTAGTGGTTAAGATTCAGTCTCAATGTATATCCATAAGAATTGAAACAATTTAGCAATATGTTCATGAAACTATTTATATTATTTTTGTAGTAAAATAAAAAAAATATTTTGGGATAATCATGAGCAATCCAATGAAACAGTACACAATATGGTACATATATATAATACATTTGAAAGCCTATTATAAATAATTTCTGGTCTTAAATATTAAATTGCATTGAATCTACGCTTAGTACCACTAATTGTTGTCAACCGATTCATATTTCTTCTTGTACTCTCCTACAGATTCTTTCACGTATGCTTCTCTGAATACTCGTCCAACATGCACAGTGAGAATCACAACCTATCAACGACTGAGTGTTATATATATTGAAAATATTAATTACTGCTGCCGTTGTTATTCAAAACTAGTGATTCGAAATGATTCATTTAGGATGGCAGTGAAAATGTGAGTTACTGACATTTGTCAATACGTACAATAGAACTTTCTATCGATGTTTGCTCCTGTATAGCACACACGTGTATGCAAGAATATTAGTCAGAAGTTTGAGCTTCTTAGGAATTACTATCGGAATACAATAATAAAATATATGTCGAAAAATAGTTGATGAATTTACCTGCACCGACACCAGCAACAATTGCTGCACCCATACAACTACATTCTTCAAGACCTCTGCGTTCCACTGGGATTCCGATTGCATTAGATATACGCTGTAGCAACCAATTTGAACGTGCCACATTTCCATTAACATAAAGAATAGAAGGAGAAATGCCTGGAGGAAAGGACGGAAAAATTAAATATGAGAATATAGTAATCATCAAGTTTGCATATTAATAATTCATTCGCGAACAGACAGATTATGATGTCTATTTTGTGTGACTTCACGATCGTAGTTGAAATGTCTGGGACTCAAACCACACTATTACATTGATAAGAGAGATCAAAATTTTTAAGCATTGGAATAAAATACATACTGTCAACAGACATTAACTAACAAAGTCGGATAATCAATCAACTACAAAACATTCACACCTTAATAACAGATAGCTTGAAAGAAATTACGGGTCTATAGGGTTTCAAGATAATAAATGAACAGAATTTTCGCTACTAAAAATTTTGAATCTGTGTGTGGTGAGCAACTATAAGAGAAACTATGAAAAGATATATTTAGTAAGGATAAGATAGGAAAATAATTGAGCGAAATGAGAGTAATATGAACAAAATGTGGTACGTAACCTAACAGTTAAAAAAACAGGTTCTCTAGAAAACATATATCGACGGAGTAGCGTAGAGAAGTAGACGGTATTGAATATAACTAAGGAGTAAGTGAGGAAAAACCTGAAAAAAATTCGTATTTAAAGCAATTACTCCGTTTTATAAATTTCGATAGAGCAATGAGAAGATGGATTTAATCTGAAAAAAGTGATGTCTTTGTAATATATGTTTCGGAAAATCTGATCACACATATACTCGTCAGGGTATTTTATATGAAGATTAATAAAGGTTAGTTAAATGAAAGTCCAAGTAATAAAGGTAATAAAGGAGACAGGAAATTTTTTTACGTCGTATAGAAGGAACAAGAAATTGCTGTATTACCCTAGGCCACAAAATGAACTAAGGATTACCAAGGTAAAGGCTGCGACAAACTGTTTTTGTACACATAAGGGGGGTCTGGATTTAGGAATAGTCAAGGCTTCAATAAACCTGAGAATTCGTCCTTGACAATTTCTATACAACGTCTTAAAAGCTGTGTTGATGTCAATTTCATGCCCCGTTTCAATTGTGTTTTTCTATCAACGAATGCCCTGGTACGGCCGAGAGTGGGGAGAGTCCGCTCTCCCTCTCGAAATACTCTCACACGGCCACGCGTATACAGCCTCTGCCAGGGAAGTCCTACTCATTGCCTTCTCGTGGCGGGGGTGTTGTTTACGAAAATGAGAGGACGAAAAGCGAATGTCCGGCGCTTTAACCGGATTCCAAACCAATGGTGCACATGGGCTCCAGTATCCTGCGGGAACAAATGGCGTATGAACCAATCGTTGGTCACCGGCTACCATGGGACTGCATCTCCTTACGATGCTCCACTGCCTTGTGGGTTAGACCTTTAGGTCAAAGGCTCGGGGAGTGGCCCCCTAAGATAACCACCTGCTTCGGTTTGGGCACCCGGGCAGTATCACAGCCCACACACAAATGATGAACTCTTTATGTCTATGGAAATTACTTTTCTCGCTTTGAAAAACAATCAATTGATTCAAATTATTATCATTACAATTATTGTCATTATTATACTACTATTATTATTATTACTATTATTGTCATTATTATTATTATTATTATTATTATTATTATTTTCCACATTATTCACCCTCTTTTATACTTATACAGCGGCTCGTCTTTGGTGGAAATTCGACTGTATCTAAACGTTCTCGAGTCACTGTCCGGTTGAAAATTGTATGTTACCACCGAATACGAGGACTGAAGCAGTTTTTCTGAAACCACGTGCACCATTCAAACTGGCTGCCTTCAACGTTCGCACATTTATGCAGGTCGGACAACAGATAGGGCTGGCTATGTCTTTGGAAAGTCTTAATATCGATGTTTGTTGTCTATCCGAGACCCGTATTCAAGACTCTGGCGAAGTACTACAAATTCGATCTCCATCTGTCGCTTCGAAAAGCTTGTTTTACGTGCGCTTATCCGGGGACCCTGTGGCATCTTCGTCTGGTCTTGCTGGCGTTGGTGTCGCACTAAGCGCTAGAGCTGAGGCAGCACTAGTCGATTGGATCCCCATTAACAGTCGGTTATGTGCTGTTAGATTAGAAAGTTCCATCAAAGTGAGAAGAAATCGGCGTGAGAAACGATGTCTTTTCGTCATCTCCGCCTATGCCCCGACAGATTGCAGCCCGGATGCAATCAAGGATGAGTTTTACCACCAGTTATCTGTTCTTCTCCAGAAAGTGCGTTCGACAGATATTGTAGTACTAGCCGGAGACTTGAATGCTCAGGTCGGGCGTCTAGGCACAGAAGAGAGTCGTTTAGGTGGCCGATGGGGACTCGTTGGTCGCAGGTCAGATAACGGGGACCGTCTACTGCAACTTTGCACAGACCACAACCTGTTTCTGGCTAGCACTAACTTTCGGCACAGTCATCGCCGATGTGCCACCTGGCGTCCTCCCTCTGCATCTCAAGCCTGGACTCAGATTGATCACATCGCGATCAGCTACCGCTGGCGTGGTTGTGTACAAGACTGCCGCTCCTTTTGGAGTACCTATCTGGACTCTGACCATGCCTTGGTCTGCGCCAATCTTGCCTTACTTTTCAGTGGACAACGAAGTGACGCCATCAACGGATTGATGTTAGCAAGCTGGTTGCAACTTCTGTTGCAAGTAAGTATCGAACCGAGCTAGCCTCTAGGCTAGCTACCACTCCACCGAAAAGTATAGATGAGCATTGGTTGCAATTGCATGACGCCATGAAAATGGCGGGAACAGTCAGTTGTGGGTTTCTGCAGGTTCCTTACAACTCATTGAAGCCCGTCGGTCTACTCCGGGTGACCGTGAGTTTGACCATAAACGAAGGATGTTACGTAAGGAAATTGGGCAAAGCTTGCGTAAGGACCGAGAAGCCTGGTGGTCGATGCGTGCTAATGAGCTGGAAGCAGCAGCTGCATCTGGTAACTACCGGAAGCTCTTCCAGCTCATCCGAGCCACTGGCAGCAAGAAGTCTGGTGTGAGTGAAACAATCTGCGAGGATGATGGGATGCCAATCACTAACATCCATCGACGTCTTGGACGATGGGCAGAATTTTTCGAAGGGCAGTTCAACTGGCCTGCTGCTCCGGCAACATCGGTCAGACTGTCCTGCCCTCCATGGCCGGTGACGACTGATCCACCAAACGAGGAGGAAGTCCGCAAGGAACTCCAACTCTTGAAGCGTTACAAATCACCTGGCCCAGATGACTTACCTCCGGCTCTTTTTAAAGATGGTGGTGACTTTTTGACTAAGGAATTGACGACGTTGTTTACAAAGGTTTGGGAACTAGAGTGTGTACCAACGTCATGGAATGAGTCGATAGTTGTCCCTATCTTTAAAAAGGGTTCACGTCGTTCTGTAACAACTATCGGGGGATAAGTTTACTTCCGATTGCGTCCAAGCTATTGGCTTCCGTCATTCTTCGTAGGTTGTTCAAAACCCGAGAAAGATTGACTCGCGAGGAGCAGGCTGGGTTTCGTTCTGGTCGAGGATGTATTGATCATATCTTCACCCTCCGCCAAATGTTAGAACACCGCCATACTTTCAAAGGCCAACAATCGTAGTGTTTCTTGACATCAGGGCTGCCTTCGATTCGTTGGACAGGACTGTTCTCTGGGATTGTCTATTGAAGAAGGGTGTGCCTGAGAAGTTTATTAACATCCTAAAAGCCCTATATAAAAACACCTCAGGCAGAGTGAGGGCATACAACCACCTCTCTCCATTGTTCCATTCGAGCAGTGGGGTTAGGCAGGGTTGCCCAATCTCACCATTCCTCTTCAACTTTGCCATCGATGACATTCTGGAAACAGCTCTGATGAATGTAAGTAATGGTGGTGTGGATCTGTTGCCTGGAGAAAGACTTCTCGACCTTGAGTATGCGGACGATATTGTCTTACTGTGCGATAATGCCCAAGGCATGCAATCCGCACTTAATCAGTTGGCAATCAGTGTCCGTAGGTATGGTATGTGCTTTGCACCTTCGAAGTGCAAAGTACTTCTACAAGACTGGCAGGATTCTAATCCTGTACTCACCCTGGACGGTGAGCAGATAGACGTAGTGAGAAGTTCGTGTATCTGGGTAGCTGCATAAGTGCTGGTGGGGGTGTGAGTGATGAGATCAATGCACGAATAGTGAAAGCCAGAGCGGCTTATGCCAATCTGGGCCACCTTTGGCGCCTTCGTGATGTTAGTCTGGCTGTAAAAGGTCGGATCTACAACGCGTCGGTGAGAGCAGTTTTGCTCTATGCTTGTGAAACCTGGCCTCTCCGAGTTGAGGACGTTAGACGACTCTCTGTGTTCGATCATCGCTGTCTCCGAAGGATTGCTGACATTCAGTGGCAACACCATGTCAGTAATGCAGAGGTTCGGCATCGTGTGTTCGGGCACAGAGATGATAACTCAATTGGTGTCACCATCTTGAAACACCGACTTCGGTGGCTTGGACATGTTCTCCGAATGTCGTCCCAGAGAATTCCACGTCGTGCATTATTTGCCGACTCTGGGACTGGTTGGAAGAAGCGGAGAGGTGGTCAGTGCATGACATGGTGTCGTGGCATGAAAGAAAGCTGCAAAGGACTGGCTTGTGTTGGTCCTTCACGACTCCCTGGTTGGGGTCGAGAGATGGTGCTACACAGTGGCTAGAGACGTTATCAGATATGGCTCAGAATAGAAGCCAGTGGCGATCCTGCTGTAACCTTCTTTTACTTTCTTCATAAAAAGTGGTTGTGTCTCCTTACCTGAAAGATTTCTTCTGATTGTACCTTTTCGTTCCGTCGTTACTACCACACTACCTTACTCCAATCTCTTCGTCATTGTTTTCTTTTTCTTTTGCGCTCCTTAGTTTTTTTTTCTATTTCTCTTCGAATTCTCATTGTTTTGTGTGGCGCATATATATTGGCGCTCTCTTGTACCAATATTCATGTGTTCAAATAAAATAATAAATAATCAATGAACATGGTTTCCTACTTCCCACGTTGATCGGATCATTTGACACTAACTGGTTTTGAAGACATCTAGGCACACGTTCCATGACCCTTAATTGCATTGTTCGGTTACTCCTCCGTATGTATGTGTCCGCACAAACATATAGATTGGCAAATGAAATGGGATGTGACGTAACCAGTTGTGCATTGTCTAGGTCTATTTAGAATCACGGGCTTAGATTTTTCAATCCCAACCAGCTTAGCAGCATAATCAGTTTTCTCGACGGGTGCTTTCGATCTCTGTCTTTAAACCATACTGTTGGGTTCACCTCTACATGGTAGACAGATATATACTTTTTTTCTTCGGAATCGAATAAACGAGAGGTCTTACTGTTGACTGACTTTTTCACCTGTTTATAAACTTTAGTGGATAACGATTTGATAATAGTGTGTCAGTGAGCAGCTTTTCATCTTCTCCAACCGTATTAGTGGTGCATATTCTATGAATCCTATTTAAAAGGCATTTAACCAAGCCTCGCTTGTATTGCAATGGACAGAAACTATGGAAATTTAAATATTGCCCCCTTTATTACCTTGATTACTTGGACTTTCATTTAACTAACCTTTATTAATCTTCATATAAAATGCCCTGACAAGTATGTGTGTGATCAGATTTTCCGAAACATATATTACAAAGACATCACTTTTTTCAGATTAAATCCATCTTCTCATTGCTCTATAGAAAAAAACATATCTTTATCTAACAAAATTTTTTAAAGGTGATCACATGGAAAAACCAAAAACAGAAGACGGTTTGTGTAAAACTCCTTCTGTCACAATGTAAAGTAGACAAACATCTATCACATGTCGCCTTTGGCTGCACAATGCAATTTACATGTAAGTGCAAAAGTAAGTATGTAGGAAGAGTAGAAAGACGGTCAATTATTTGTTTTATTAAGGAAATCCCAAAGAACTTGAACAGCATAGAACATAAAAGTCTTTGTTACACAACGGATACAAATTAGACACCATACACTTAAAACAACTAATAAACAGACCAGGTTCGATTTGTGGGGGTTATAGCTATCAGGTTTAAAATTGCTCTTTATATTGAAGAGTCAGTGACTAACTTTCAACTAGCCTGCTAATTGAAAGGAACAAATGTAAATAATTGATTTTTTCATTATCTACAATCCGATGAGTTCAACTTGCAGATGTTTCTCTCTTATTTTTGTAATTTTCTACCACATTATTTAATAAAATCATATTTTCCAGTATTCTAGAGATATCAATTTAATTAGTTTGCGAAAACTATCATAAAATATCAACGTTGACCTTATTACTGACAACTTGCTCTTTACTGACGGGCAATTCATTTATTGGAATAAAATTCCATATGTACATTTATAACTTGAACTAATCAAACCTATTAATTTGTATTTGTAACTGAAGAGAAAACGAATGAATTTATTGTACTTTGAAAAATTGTCATTCTTATACTTATTCAAATTTATGGAGGGATAAAACTGTATGAAAATGAAAAATGTTGGTTTGAGATAAATCATTAAAAATATGACTTGTTTCAAACATTTAACCCAATGTTAACTACAAAAATGTTCACTTACGTGTTTGTTTACGACAATTTTCTAACATGAATTTTGTACAAAATGCAATTGACTCAATAAAAATACGTGCAACAAGTAGTTTGTCAGCAGACTTTGAATAATCCAATCCGATTACAAATCCATCAGGTCCGTAAAATGAATTTTTGTTTAATTTTAATGGTCCGCCTATTAGCGTGTTTTGATGATGTTTAAGTGTATTCCTTAGCAATGGGATATAGAAGATATTTTCACGAGTAGCTTTTTCATCCAAACCTAAAAAAATATTTTAGCAAGAGAAGGATGGCTATTTAAGAATCAGAACATTTACTAGTGATATATATCAGTTAGTTATTAACGATTAAACTAATACTACATATTGGTTCTACGTGCAAATCGTATTCATTAATTTAAGAAATATTACAAGGATGAAAATGAGTTTAGTAAACCATAGAAGAAACAGAATTTGTCACATAAGAGAATCAAAAACTTATGACTTTATTATTGATATTACCGTTTAGAGAGAAAACAAAAACTATGAAACGTTTTCACTACTGAATGTTATATCCGGACGAGAATAAATGAGTTGTAAGCGTTAGGAATTACTTATCGACTAATATTAGACGTATATTTTTAGTGTATGATTATTAAATGACTATGTTATATGTATATTCATATTCCGTTCATTATGATTTTACTTGACCTATTTGTTACCGCTAAATGATTTGCAGTTCTCAAGTTATTCTCAATCTATTAGTCATAGTTTCTCACAATCACAGCCACTTTTGGCTTGATCTTGTAAAAATGTTATTTTCTTTTTTTTATGGTGTGATGTGGTTTGATCTGTTTGTATAAAGACCTAGTATGTTTGAAACATGATTCATATAGCGGAGGCGTTCTAGACTTAACAGGCAGGGCTAGGCAGAAAAAGGAGCAATCGGGATTCTAGGTTGCTCGTACTGGTGTATGCGCCATTAGTTGGATCGAATAATTCAGCGTATCTAAATTGACAACGGTATTTCGCGATAATAGTATAAGCTAAGGTTAATAATATTATCATTTGAACACATAAATATTGATACTAATGGGCACCGAATACATATGCACCACACAAATCAAATGAGATTTGTGTGTGGGCTGTGACACTGCCCAGACCGAAGGTGGTTTTCTTAGTAGGCCACACCCAGAGCCTTTGATCTAAAGGTCTAATCCACAAGGCAATGGAGCAACGTAAAAAGATGCGGTCACATGGTAGCCGATGACCAACAATAGGTCCACACACCATTTTTCTCTTCATGATCCTCAAGTCCATGTACACCATCGGTTTGGAATCAGGGTTTTCCAACTCCCCTAGGTCGACCCTCCGTATCCGCCAAACCGGTTAAAGCGCCAGACATTCGCTTTCCATCCTCTCAATTTCGTAAACAACAACCCCGCCACGAGAAGGCAATGAGTGAGACTTCTCTGGTAGTCGCTGTATACGCGTGGCCATGTGAGAGCATTTCGAGAGGGAGAGCGGACTCTCCCCACCCTCGGACGTACCAGGGCACTTGGGGGAACATAACACTGAACTTAAACTCGAGTAAAAAAAATTAAGTCTTGGATTAATTATCGACAGATTTCTAGCTCACTTAACATTATCAAGGCTTAGAAGAGTCATTTATGATGAATGTAACAAAATTGGAGATTTTTTTACAAGTATAACAGGAATCAGGGTAGAAAAGCCTTGGTTAAGCCGTGCTATGACGTAAAGAGGCTTTAAAATTGTATTAAACCAGCTGAACATATTATTTTAAAAACTCCAATACAAACATCTATCCAGAGACACGAAAAAAGAATTGGTAGATACTCGCTAAGACGTGTAAATCTTACCAAGTCGATCACCACTATAAAGCATTTCTTCCAACTCAGAATACGTACAGAAAATATCTGAAAAACAAAATAAAAATTTAACAAAGACTACTCATAGCTAATAAGCATTTCTTTCTACTGATACATACTGAAGTAAAAGTCAAACGACAATCACAATAACAACATAAAAGAATTTTACTCAAACTACTCTTAAGTGATGTTCGCAGAATTAAGACATCTTAGCATTTATCGCATTTGCAAAGTAAAACAGAACTAGGTCCATTTATAATATTCAAACGCATATTCTTTTGAGTTAAAAGCATAAAAATACAAAGGTTCAAAAGTGCATAGGAGCTTGAGTGCTTCATATAATAACTACGTATATTCATCAAAGCTACTTTTCAGATAATGAACAGATAATTTGTGTCAATCAAAAGTATTTCGCAACAGAACAAATGAAACCTGTTAAAGTTAATTGGTTTTCCGCGGCAGATTATCGTTCCTCTTAAAATTGTAAAAATATCGACACACGCGAATTCATTATTTACACTTAATATTTTTTAATCTTTCTGATAAACATTAATAGTTCTATAGGAACTTTATTACTGTCTACAAAATCTTTATTAGCGAATTCGCTGAAGAGTTATACAGATAAAATTATAGGAGAAACATTGTTGTCATCGCATCAATATGAAGAAGTCGCGTAAAAGTCGTTATTACTTTTATCATCCTTCAATACTAACTCGTTCAACATTTGGTGAATCATCAATAAAATGATTTAAGTTTATCATAAACAAACCAAACTGAAACAAAAAAATGGCTGGTTCACATGTTATGTGAAATCTATATACAAAAAAATGAGCACTTGATGCGTTTAACATTATCATTTTCAATAACAAAAAGGATTTTTCATAACAATTATAAGCGTTCTGGCCACTATATAAAAGTATTTCCATCATGAATTTTGTAATGGAAGATAAAAGTCATTAGTTTCTTAATTTTAGGCGAAAGCTCGTGAGTGGGTTTTTAGATTCCGGTTGGCTTATCCCTATATTATACTCCTAACCAAAAATGATAGTGAATTTCGGAAGTAACTAAAATAACGGTGCAAAACTAAATCAAAGTGTTATAATTCTCTGTTACGGTAATAACCCAGCTATTCCTATTGCTTAGTATTCTTGGACACCAACTCACTCGACAAGTCCCCAAATCAGAACACGGTTGAACAGGAAAGAAATTATATTCCAAATAACAAGGTTAGATGGAATTAAGAAGTACAATAGGAAAACCATTAGTATATTTATAGTTTTTACATGAGAAAATTTCTAGAGTATTCTCCAAGTATCGACTAGCGCTGATTGGGCAATCACCGTGCACCAAAGCAATCGTGCGTTGAGCATGCTTTAATCCAATCTATGTCCCGCTAACACAAAGTAATGAATTGTAGCAACTGATACACAAACTTCAGGGCCAAAGCCCACCTACATTATGGTAAACATGATCGTCAGAATTCGATGTAATTACGAAACTAGCTGTAATCTGACAGTGTGCGCGTACGTCACAGAATCGCCCACCCTAATTCCTATGACTGAATTATGTGGAAATATTAACGCATAAAATTTTCAGCGTCTAACTACTTGTCTAGTGTCGGGGATAAAGATAGAAAACACCCGTTGAGATTTAAAGAAGAAATCGATCCAGTGGAATCTACCTTCTTGATAAATAATTAAAATCATAGCAACTAAACTTTCAGTTTCTTAACAAGAATAACATTTTTTGTGCTCTTGTCTATTTTTTTGTCATGTTTAGCATTATTATCATTATTAGTAATAGGCATATGATTGATTCTCATTCTGGGAAAAAAGTATATATTTGTGATTGTGCCACTGTGAGAATGAATTCACCGAAAAGAGGTTTGTTGAATGTTTTTCTATAGTTGAGCACATATAGTCTTTTATATATTTTTTTAAATGCAATGTCAATAATCTGCAGAAACGGTTAAACCTAAGTAAAATTGACCAAGTATGCAAAGAATACTTTGTAAAAGATCCCAGAGACCAAATAATGAATTTGCTTACTTTTAGCAGTGTATATAAAAGTATTGGATGAACACAAAATGTTAGGAAAGCAGCAATCGTGTGTGAAAATGAAATGAGATAGTTCAGTCAGTCATCTACAACAAATGATCAGGTATATAGAACCACCGGTCGAAGTCACCATACCTCATTAATACAATAAGAACACTAAATAAATAGAGGCAGTTACCTCAATGGTAGAAATATATAAAAAGATTGCATATAAGAATATCATACAGGGAGAAAGAATTAGTTCGTAGAAAGAAAGGTATGAAGTAATCTTACAGTTTAAGGGAAGACAAAGAGTATACACCTACACCATTGTGATTAATTCTAAACCATGTCACTCAGTCTCCAACCCCTCCTTACGATAGTCACGTGGACACCAAACAAGTAGTCTGCATCTACCGACATGGCTCAGACTGGAAGTTTGTGACGTCAAGGACTGATGCCACGTTTTGGTTTGACCAGCTTTAACTTTTTTCCAACCATATCCAACACGTCACTACTGCATGTCATGGTAACAGGTGATTTGACATGCATAATACGTGCCCCAACCATCTCAGTCGATGTAGATTCACAATTTTATCAAATGATTTATTATCATTCCTTAATACCCTGCGTCTAACCTCACCATTACACACCCGGTGATCCCAGCAGATGCCAGCAATATTTCTAAGACATCTGTGATCAAATAATATTAACTCACAAGTATCTTCTACTCTTAATGGCCACGTTTCGCAGCCGTGAAGTAGAACAGAACAAACTGATAGATGGATATCTCGCCTTCGCCACAGGTAACGTAAGTTGGCAAAAGCCAAACTAGCCTTTCAAAAGCGTGCAGAGATTTCGTCAGACACCAAACCCATTAAGGCTGATCAGACTTTCAAGATAGGTGATGTTGACGAGTTCGACTACTTCACTCCCTATCATTAATTCAGGTGTTGACGCAGACCAGTCCTGAAGCAGCAACTTGCATCTCGAGAGGGAGAAACACGTCTCAAACGTACGGACATTGTTGCTCAGTGCTATCAAAAAACTGCATTTTATCGGCGTTTTCACCAAACAGGACTATGTCATCTGCGTATTCTAAGTCAGTAGGTGGACCTCCTGGAAGGAGATCAATGTCCGAAAATTCAGTCGACTAGCAAGTTATTTCCATCAGTATGTCTAAAATGAAGTTAAACAAAAATGGAAATAGTGGACAGCTAGACCATCATTGAAAACTTGGAAGTACTGGATGACCATTTCGTTCCAGTATGGGACTCCTCAGCAGTGCGCATTCACAATTCCGTACGTGAGACTCGAACCCTGAGTCTCCGGTATCGCACGCGAACGCTTAATCTCCAGACCACTTAGTTGGCATACAACAAAGTTATTGTCTAACTTCAATAATTCATGATCTTGTGAAACCTTTCGTCCTGAGATGGATAGTTGTTTCACACCCGACACGGATCGGACTCCACTGATCACGGTTTCTCATTAGAACTCCAAGAGTTACATTTTGAAGTTAGTCAAGATTAACATCCAAACTCATATTATCCTGTCAAATTAACCTTAAACACTGAATAACAAGGTAAATAAACATTGAACATTATATTTTATGATTCTGTTGATAATAATGAAATGAAGAAACAGGACAGTATTTGCCAAGTCTAGTTATGAGAATCAGTCAGTAACATTGTAACTTTGAAAACCGGATGTCAGTTCCCGTGCACTGCTCCCATTCTTTAACAATCGACTACGTGTGACTTTTCAGGGAGCATTTTCCAGTATTTCCTTAATCGAAACAGTATTACTAACCTAGTAACTAGTGTTTATAAAAAACTGTGAGGTGGAATTCAATTTTGTAAATGGCTAAGTACCAACAACGAACTACTACATTTATGGTCTTGGACACCAAATCAGACAGATAATAAAGATCCTTCAGCAAAACAAAATTCTTTACAGTAGATATCAGCTCCGCCTGAAGCCCCCTTCTAAGATTACTGTCAATCTCGAAGCCGGGTAAAAGAGAGTTAAGTGAAGGATTAGCAGCCCGACTACAAAAACGCGAACCAGGAAAGGCCAGTTACCCTATGTAGACTCTACCCTGGGAGTAGAATGGGGAACCACGGCAACAATCAATATCAGTACATGGAATGTCCGAACAATATGGGGGGTCGTAATGCTCCTTCAGACAACAGCAAAAATGGAGAGGTGCAATCTGATTCCATTAGAAATACGCGAAACACATTGGAAACAATCAGGGGTTGCACTGACCTTTTCCAAAGAAACACAAAAAGCCCCAATAAGTTGGAAAATTTATAGGTCTCGGATTATCGAGGCACCCGACAAGCGGAAATATGTGGAAGAACTGACAACCACAGCAAAATAAGCTACAGGAGAAGGAATAATGAGAAGATTGTATGATGCAATCAAGTTAAGAGGGAAAGATAGTAAACCAGAACGACTAGTTATGAACAAAAAAAGAAAACCAATCAGTGTGGAGTAAGAACAGTTGAACAGCTGGATAGAGTATCTTGAAGAGCTCTTGAATAGAACATCCCAACTGAACCAATCGGACATAGAAATAGCACACATAGACCTTCATATGAATAATACCCCACCAACAATAAAAATTAGCAAGACTGTAACTAATAATGTCTTTTAGTCTTCATCTATGGTTCTTACTATTTTTTTTTCATCACTCGAAATTGCTGATCACTTTATTACGCAACAACACTCTATTTTTCAATGAACTTCTGTATGTCAAATAATTATGAGATTGTAAAGGTTCAACGAATTATAAGATTGAAAAGAAAAGTTTATTGCTTAATGATATTTTATTTTATTATAGATAGGTGAGGGGCGATTTCGTCTTGATGGATGAACTTAATTTTCCTATAAATTCATAACGATGAAAGTATTAGTTAAGTAAGCTGATTAAATTTATTAAGAAAACGAGTTGTGTTAGAAAAAACACGCCAACAGTAAATACAAATATTAGAGAGAATTAATTGTTCACATGATTCCAATACAGATAGATAAATGATGAACCTTGAAAAAAATGTATCACATGAACAGACATTTTTAAAGCCACATATACATGAGTTAAGAAGAAATACCTGTTTAAAGAGAATTTACCGCAAGCTAGTAACGGTTGAAAATCAGTCGGTCATAATCAACACTAGCAACTTTTAATTAATCAAAATTCCCATACCACATCAGCAGAGCGAAATGAAATCAACAAGAAGAATACCAGAAGAGTCTAAATAATAATAGTATCAACCGAAGTTGGAAATATTAATCACTGAGCAATGCTAATCGAAAAGGAGGGATGAATTTGTAGACAGAAAGTACAAAATAATATTAAAGTACAAGACTTAGGGGAAGATAAGGAGTGCATCTTCAGAACTGTGAACAGTTCCAGCCCATTTCACCTAACATCTCCAACCACTGATTATAATTACTGCTACTGAGTGAAATGGTAAAGATTACAGAACGCTGAGGTTAACTGTCTTATTTCAAGAATTTTTAGGTATTACATTGTGCATGCAGACTGCGTAAAAACCCATTACTATAAAAGCCAATAGTTATGAAACCTTAGTTGATTTTTCGTCACAAATAAACATATGTACTGAAAATGATTAGAAAAATCACTCACTTTCTGACTGCAACCAATCAATAAGTGTACCAGCATGTGGATAGAAACCTTCAACTAAATAAGTAAGATCATCCAGATGAAAAGATCTAGATGTAGATGGTACAGATGATGGAGATTCCGAAGAACTGCTAGTAGAACCCATATAAAAAGTCGAAATACAGTCAAAATACGGGTGACCAGATGCCCATCCAATAACAGGATAAAAGCCTACAGAATAAATAAAATGTGACAGATAGGTACAGTACAACTTCATATTATTCGGCCCACAATACTAGACTCTAGCTGTCGGTTGAATACAGAAATCTTGCAATGAAATATAGTGCTGCTGAAGTCATATAACCGAGTCAGCAAATAAACCGACCAACATCCTCACCTTAAATTGAAATTCTGCAGGAGATTAGTTTACCAAGTTGGGTCCCACTACCGTAAAGAACTAGGGATGGATAAACTAAAGTGATGCAGATAAAGCCTGATATACGTACTGAACAAATATTAGACATTTCCTAAAAGGCTGATGAAATTTAAACACGGCTTCATGAATGGGTTGGCACTTAAAATACTGTATACTCCATTTATTTGATACAGATTAATGATCGAAGCATTTTAGACACAGTAGTCAAATTAAGTAAAAACAACTAACGTATACCTCATAAACTATATTACAGAAGTACCCAGATGTCTGATGGAACTACCAAATCACCCTTGAAACTGTTAGGTTTCCAACAATACGGAGAGTAAGATTGGTGGTCAAAGCACTAGGCTTTTCACATTGAATTTGGATATTTCTCCGTCTACTATGAGTAACGGGATAATTTCCAAAGCCATTAAATCATGAGTATGATTTGATGTTGAATATACGAAGCAGTACTGGAAAATTGAATTAACTTACTTCACATGGCTGGAGCACGTTTCAGTACACTACCTGTCTTGTAAGGTTGAGTGACAGGTAGAAAAATAAATTGTTTAAGATGAACTAAAGCACGACACCAACCATAAATTAATAATCTAGTTACGCTTGTAAATGTAAATCTTTTCTAATGCTCAACTTGAGTTGGTCACAATAAACGTCTAAAATGTTAACAGTAGAGACTTGTTATATTCCAAAAACTAGTGCTCTTTATTTAAATCCCATTATATCAACTTGTCCAGTACTAAAAACTATACAGAACAAGTTTATGAATAATAATGATAGTTTATCCTGCTGAGAACAAATTAGAAAAGTCTGACAAAATCATTTAAGACATACTATATTATTATTCGTTTGATTTGTTATCACACATTTGAAGTTATTACCCAAAAATACATATATGTCCTAGGTTGTTGATAGCTTAACTACTTACAGTATGGCAATAATGGATAAGCAGAAACAGTACTAACGTGATATTATGCGTACCATTCATTACGGCTAGAGCTTTGGAACCAGAAAGTAAATTTAAAAATATCCCGGTGCCTAATGTAAGTTTAGCTTGACAAGGAGATAAACAATTTTCTATTAAGGTGGCAGCTTGAGCATCACCAATGATACCAGTGATCGGAATAGACAAAGAAGGATTTGATGAATACCCCAGTGGACCATTTTGAACAGTGCCATAATAATAACTGAAAAATAAGAACACATGTGGTTATATGATAAGAAATAGGGAATGATAATTAGCTTTTAAAAATTATAGTTAATTGCGAGTGAATTATCACTGACAGTTTCCGAATTACCTATGAAGTTCTTCCACTAAATCCAGTAAACTATGAGAATAACAATTATTACAAACGTTTATTTGCCAGCCAAACATTATTGACAGACAAAACAAATGAGCTAGACAAAATGAGCAGCTTAGTGTTATTATGACCCATCTACTCCGATTGCTTTGCATTCTCGGACCCCAAATCGCTCAACAAGTCCTTAAGTCAGAACACGGTTGAACAGAAACGAAACCATGTTCCAAATAACCAAGGTAGATGGAAGTAGGAATCGCAATAAGAAAAACGTTAGTATATTTATAGTTTTTACATTAGAAGATTCTAAAGTCTTCTCCAGGTATCGATGATTGGATAAGAAACAGTCAATCAGAGTGCACCAACACAATCCTGCAAGGAACGTGCTTTAATCCAATCTATATTCCGCTAAAACTTAGAGATGACTAATTTTATACAGCCGGATAGGCAAGACAATAAAAACAACGATTATGAGCATACAAAACTATTTGAATAATTTTCAAAGGTGAAAATCTTCATATAACATTATTTTTCAAAACCAGTTCAAATTTAATTTTTTCGATATATTGTTAAACTAAATGTAGTAGTGATTTGATGGTTAAAGTACTACACCCATACCAATGGAGTGAATATGCTACCGGATCTCGAAGGGATGAATGGTGGATGGAACTATTTGGTCACCGCTTACTAAAGGATTGCATCTCCTGAAGCTGATATATTGTCGTGTGGATTGGACCTTCAGGTCAAAGCCTCAGGGAGTCGTCGTTTACAAAAACCAACTACTTCGGTCTGGCCTAGCCCATAAAAAATTTGCTGAATTATAAAGAAATTGTGGCAAAACCATGTTAATAACAAGGAGTGTATTCGCTCCCAATGACGATAATTCGGTTAGTGAGACAATCTTGAAACACCCACTACAGTGGCTTGCAAAGAAAAACTAGCAAAATTATTCCTGCAAGTCAAACTTTTTATCCCCCTCAAGTTTTTGTGGAATATGAATATATGTAACGAAATTATTTTAAAGAACTGTTAGTGAATAAAGTTGATATGATACGAAAAGACTTGTTGGAGGATGATGATTCAAGTGGCCTTGCTTTAGCTTCATAAACAAAAATGGCGCAGTTTTCATTACTGTGCTACAGAGAAAACAAACCGGTGCATTGAATGTAAGTGGGGATGCCCAATACAGCATAAACAATGGTGGTGGCATATTCTTGATCGAATTAATTAATAAAAAAAATCGAACCTAAAAAAGTAACCTACGTAAAAGTAAAGAAACTGGAAAAACAATTTTAACAGCAATCTTCGAAAAATATAATACTTTGATCAACTACTATTTTGAGATTAGTGATATAAATCCCAAAATATTAGGAGATTATGTGTGAAGCTTGGGGTAGAAAATGATTGAGGAAAGTGAGACTTTCAGCTGTTGGTTACTATGTAGATCGAGTCACATAGAGGTAGTGTCGTACATATATGTGAAATTCTGTTGCGTCATTAGCTGACTACATTGGTGTCTTTTTACATAAAACTAACTGACGAGATTTCAACGAGTATTTTTCTAAAAACAAAAGCTGAATAGTACACTCACCTGGAAGGATACACATCAGGAAGAATATTGGCAGGTATTCCTAAACTAGCCAAAATCGGACGGCTCCATTTACGCTAAAATAGCAAAGTATACAAAAGAATCAACATGACATAACACTAAGTACTTGAGTAAGTAAACGAAGTGAGATTACCTCTATGTTTTGACTGCAATAAAATAAAGTGATAACTCAGAAAAGTGAAGCTCGTGTTAGATAGTAGTGTCGTGAACAACAGCTCAGATGGGGAAGACCAATTTATTGTTTAATGCAAAATCCCGACCGTTGTTGCTACCTTGACGTGGTGGTCGGGCTTGCCTATCGTGATGAAGCAACCGAGCTATACTGGCTGGAACAACCGTTCCTCAAGGTCCTACCATGTCAGACAGGTCGGTTGAAGAGCGGTAAGACTAAAAGCAACAAACCCAAGGTCCGAAGGCGAAGTCGTACTGCTGACTGTACAGAGGTGTGACAGCAGTAAGGTGTTTCCTTCAGACAACCAGCATGACAGCGATGCTGCCTTCCCACAAGGAGGGGTGGGGTTAGAAAAGGTCGACCCTAAAAATGCACACCTCGCCTTATCCCACGGATATCCGTCTCCGGCGGTAAGGTCTCAATAAGTACGGAGCTAACACAAAAATTACCCATAACAAGGTCGTGTGTGACCGACCTCAAGCAGTTGTCCCTTGGGCACTGCGGTCACGCTCTCAGGTCACTAAGACCACTTCTAATCCAATTTCCTTTTCAGGTACCTCCAGAACAACCCTTCCACGGTGTGGGCAACCGGGAAGTGATAACCGCCCTCATACTTCTAACAGCACTCAAGACCACTGTATTCATAATCAACCTCCTCTTCAATTCCTATTATTCCTCCTACATCGACTTTCAACTCTATATTTCCTCTCTCGGCTTCCACCTCAAGTGTCACCGTAGCCAACGATTCTAGTGCGCAAAACACTGTCCCAGGTCTACTGAAACCTCGCTCCAAACTACACATTGGAGCCTTCAACGTACGCACCCTATGTCAAATCGGTCAGCAGGCTTCCTTGGCTAAAACCCTAGAGTCTCTTTCCATTGATGTATGCTGTGTCTCCGAAACACGCATACAGGATTCCAGTGTGGTCATTCACTTGACCTCACCTCGGCAAGACGGAGAGCCAACGAGATACACCCTTCGTGTGTCTGGTGACCCGATGGCAAGTTCTCGTGGACTGGCAGGTGTAGGCATAGCACTAAGCATGAGGGCCGAACAAGCACTGCTAGAGTGGATCCCCGTCAACAGTCGTCTATGTGCTGTTCGGCTGAACGGCTACGTAAGAACTCGGAAGGATAGGGACACACGTCGTTGCCTTTTTGTCGTTTCTGCCTACGCTCCCACTGACTGCAGCTCAGATGAAGTGAAAGATGAATTTTACAGAAAGCTGTCCGAACTTCTTCAGAAAGCTAAACGCTCAGACATAGTACTCGTAGCAGGTGATTTTAATGCTCAGATAGGCAGTTTAAACCAAACAGAAAGGCATTTAGGTGGATATTTTAGTATTCCGACACAGCGAACAGATAATGGTGATCGTCTGCTGCAGCTATGCTCAGACAATCGTTTATTTTTAGCAAACACAAATTTTAAGCATAAGGAGAGACATCGTCTAACATGGCGACCCCCTACACCAAACCAACGATGGACTCAAATAGACCATATTGCCATCAGTCATCGTTGGAGAGGGTCGGTAGAAGATTGTCGCTCATTCTGGAGTACCTGCTTGGACTCCGACCATGCCCTAATACGGGCACGCATCTGCTTGCGCCTCACTGGACGCAAAAAAGCCACATTAAAAAGACCCGTTAGAACTGAGTTGAGTAACGAGAAAACCAAAAGTAGGTTCCAGGAACAACTGAGGTCACACTTAGGTAGTTGTGAAGACGAGGCTGACCCAGATGTTGCTTGGAAGGGCATACAATCAGCTGTGGAAACAGCAGTGACATCTATTAGTGACTTAAACCACAGAGTTACAAGGAACCAGTGGATTTCTTCAAGGTCTGTCACACTGATGGATTCTCGCAAACTCGTCCCATCAGGTTCTGAACATGATGAAGAGCGTAAACAAATCAGATCTAGGTTAAGAAAAAGTCTAAGGAACGACCGTGAGCAGTGGTGGGTAACGAAAGCAAAAGAGATGGAAAAGGCGGCGACTATAGGGAACACAAGACAGCTTTACAGACTAATAAAAGAAACTGGAATTAATAAGTCAAGTGTAAGTGAGATTATTTCGGAAAAAGATGATACTCTCATCTGCTCCCAGTCCAGACGTTTAGAACGATGGGCGGAACATTTTAGAGAACAGTTCAGCTGGCCTTCAGCTACTCTACAACTACCCTCCATTCCCAGACAAAGTGAATGGAACATTGAAGTAGGTCCCCCAACTCTTGCTGAAGTTGAGAAGGCTATAGTTAATCTGAAACGAGGAAGGGCAGCTGGTCCAGATGGATTGGCTCCAGAGGTCTTTAAGGATGGTGGTCCAATTTTAGCGATTAGGTTGACTAATATTTTAGCTAAGATCTGGGAATTAGACGTTATCCCATCTGACTGGTCGCAATCACTTATCGTCCCAATATATAAGAAAGGGTCAAAATCATCCTGTGACAACCACAGAGGGATTAGTTTAACAAACATAGTATCTAAAATACTGGCCTCGATAATTATCAAACGCCTAACTAAGACTCGTGAACTACAAACACGAGAGAACCAAGCTGGCTTTAGACCTGGTCGTGGCTGCATCGACCACATATTCACCATTCGTCAGGTTCTAGAACACAGGCATACCTATCGGCGTCCGACGATGGTGGTCTTTCTTGACTTAAAAGCAGCATTTGACTCTGTAGACCGCGAGACTCTGTGGCAGTGTCTGTCATTGAAAGGCGTACCTCAGAAGTACATAAACCTTGTGAAGGCTCTTTACTCGAACACTACTAGTCGAGTCAGGGCTTATGGCGAACTGTCATCTACTTTTGCAACCTCAAGTGGTGTCCGTCAAGGCTGCCCACTTTCTCCATTTTTGTTTAACTTCATCATAGACCTATTGATGGAAATAACACTCTCGTCGACTGAATTCTCGGGTATTGATCTCCTTCCAGGAGGTCCACTTATCGACTTAGAATATGCAGATGACATAGTCCTGTTTGGTGAAGACGCTGACAAAATGCAGAGTCTTCTGGTAGCACTAAGCAACAATGCCAGAATGTTTGGGATGCGCTTCTCTCCCTCTAAATGCAAGTTGTTGCTTCAGGACTGGTCTGCGTCAACACCTGAACTAAGGATAGGGAGTGAAGTAGTCGAACGCGTTGACAACTTCACTTATCTTGGAAGTCTGATCAGCCCTAATGGGTTGGTGTCTGACGAAATCTCAGCACGGATTCGTAAAGCTCGTTTGGCTTTTGCCAACTTACGTCACCTTTGGCGGAGGCGAGATATCCGTCTATCAATAAAAGGACGAGTATACTGCGCGGCTGTCCGTTCTGTTTTAATTTACGGCAGCGAAACATGGCCCTTAAGAGTAGAAGACACCCGTAAGCTACTAGTATTTGACCACAGATGCCTTAGAAATATTGCTGGCATCTGCTGGGATCACCGGGTAAGTAATAGTGAGGTTAGACGCAGGGTATTAGGGAATGATGGTAAATCAGTTGATGAGGTTATGAATCTTCATCGACTGAGATGGTTGGGCCACGTATTACGTATGCCTGAACACCGATTACCGCGACGTGCAATGCTAACCGGTGTAGGGGATGGTTGGAAGAAAGTTAGGGGCGGCCAAACCAAAACGTGGCATCAGTGCCTGAAGTCACTAACTTCTAGTCTGAGCCATGTTGGTAGATGCAGACTACTTGGTTGGGGTCCGCGTGACTTTCGTAACCAATGGTTGGAGACCCTTGGTGACATGGCTCAGAATCGATCACAATGGCGTCGGTGTATACACTCTCTGTCTTCTCTTAAACTAAGAGATTAAAATCACTTCATATCTTTCTTTCTACGAACTAATTCTTTCTTCCTATACTATATCCTTATTGCAATCTTTCTCCTATATATTACCACCTTTGACCTAACCACTCCTATGAATCCGGTGTTCATCTTGCTGTGCTAATGAGGTATGGCAACCTGGGCCGATGCATACATGTGCCTGGTCCTACGTTGTAGCTGACTGACTGACTGACTGACTTAATGCAAAATTGCAGTGTATTCATAAAATATGAAAACCATACACTAAATACATCATTCACCTCTTACAAACCTTATCGTTCCTCCATTCCAACTGTTATTACAAATACTCTCTGTTTACATTTCTTTTCTCTCCAATTCGATATTCTCAACCTTCTGCTGCCAGACATCCCACCTCTGATTAGTGTCACCTACTATTTATGTCTATCAACATAAGTAGCCTACACCACAGCAGCACCATTTCTTGTATAAAATGGTGAGGGATATCATCATTCAGTGACCTGGGAAAACTAAATTTAACCATCTGGCGGAATGTTAAAGTATGACTTCAGCTGCAGTATGTTGAGGTGTATGAAATTATTTCACATGCAGCAAGTAGCAAACTAGCGCATTACTTAATGTACAAAAATTAAGTCATAATAATTAATGACTTTATTGTCTTTAGCTGTTGGAAATCTGCCACTGATGTAACCCATCTAAAAAGCAAAATCTTGATAGCTCAACGTTCAGCATCTTGGTTATTGGTTGACAATCAAACATTATAAATGCCCTCTATCAAAAGGAATTGTTTAGATCCTAGAGGACCAGTCTTACAAAATTAGCTTAAATCTTTAGATTTCTTACTTTAGAAGTCGTTGAATTGTGGCAATTTCCTTTGTTTACTAATCAACTAGTAAATACACACCTTAATGGTCGTGATTTCATTATATAGTTGATCTAATTATTTATTATGGAAAGCCATAAGTTATAGAGACCGTTACCTATGTGTCTACGATGTGTCTCTAAATGACTGAGGAATTTTTACAATGTTTTTCATTATATGACAAAGTCCAGTACACTAAAGTCGAAAATAAGGCTCTCAACTACAATACATGACTGAAAATACATCGTAACTTACAGAAAAGGAATCATACATGCCAGTAACACTTGCACAACTAACATCCGTAGCAAATGTTTTGCCACCTGTAAGCCGCCATAGCAACCATGTCTCCAAACAACCATAGCAAAGTAACCCCTTACGACACTCATCAATAAGCTATAGAGAAATGAAAGAATATAAAATAAATTAGCATATATACAACATACCCTTCCATTTATAACAAAAATTGGATGTACCAGTAGTAATCAGAATATCTATTACAGGTATTTTTGGTATCATTTGGGGGAAACTTGAACTAAGGTGGATACATGATTTAAAACTCTTGATTATTTGTTCTCTAATTTAACACCTACAACTTTAATGCCAGCTTTTGAGGCAGTAAGAGTAACACAAAACACTGACCCATAAATTTATTGAATTATTTGACTTGTATAAGTAATAGATGTGACTTGGTCATTAAGGTGTTCGGCTTTTAGTCACCAGGAACTGGGTTCAAACCGCACTCAACCTACTTCAATTTGGACTACTAGGTAGCATCACCGGCGTACGGCTTATACACAAGCACATGGTGAATGGATCAAATTTACTTTTTAACAGATTTTTTAGGGCTCCTAAAGCGCTGGACATTACGATTTGCAAACTTCACTAAGACTTATTACAACAAAATAGGACAATTACTTTTCATATTGCTTTAAACCATAATCACCCGATTACATTGCATCTATTCGTTTTTTGTTTACTTATGTTCATTAGGGTATTTTAATACACGTTTTTATTCTTTTTGAGTGCCCGAAAAAGTTGATTCCACGTTAGGTAGGGTTTAATCTAACTACTTTACTCGTTATTTCAATACGTCTAAGCAAGGAACCAGTTAACGATTTACAATGCAATCTAAAGTTTGCAAATGTAGGATTGACAAAAATTGGTATATATGAAAATAACACAATAATCAGAAGGAATAGATAAGTAATAAATACTGTGTTATTAAATAGCCACAAAGATGGATGATATATATAGGAGCTGTATTATGAAGTGAATTTTAAGTAGTTAGTAACCATTTAATATTTGTATAAACGGTAAACAGGAGTAATAAAATTCACATATGAAGGATACTTACACCTACCAAATTTTCGGTAAAACAGGCTAATGAAAAAAAAATTAGAATGAGAAAGCTAAGGTACTTAACCAATTACTAATTCAATACTGATGAATTACAATCGAAGTATATGTGATGCGCGGGCTACGAATATTATTCACTTTCATGCAACAAAATAGGTGATATATATTTCGATTTGCTATTCGTCTACAAGAACAAAAGAAAGTAGGTTCATTCTCACTGGATACTGACCGCATTAGTGGCCAAGATGGTTTAAAACCAGAATCAATAGGAATTCAAGACGTGCTAAAAGCACTTTCATTTTACATATCTAACTTTATGGGGTATACAGAGTAGTTGGAACTTCAGAGACATGAGTCGATATCAACCACGTACGAAATCGCAACAATGTACATTAAGAGCTGATACATTTTTCTAATTGGTCTGTTGACGTTTGAAATCTCCATATTGATTAAACTGTTTCTGTAGTATTAGTGGTAGTCATTTTCACTACAATGTAAACAGTACTAGTCCAGATGATTTATTTCTACTCATCTCCGGAAGCATTGTCTGACTGACAAATATCTCTTTGCAGCCTCTTATAATAATTATAATTTTCTACCGCGGCTAACTGAAAATAGTGAGTGGTTAGTTCACAGACTGGTGGTGTGAATCGCAGTTAGTCTTAAATTGAAATCTGTTGGTGAAACCAGACTCTAAAGACGAAGTCACCAGATCGCCAAGTAAATGGTTTGAAAACTAGTACACAACAGAGAATCAAGACTAAAATGATATCAGTTAGGATTTCGTTGTTTAACTTTCCATGCATGGAAAATTTGCTACGGTCTACACTAATGTGGCTGTTTTTACGCTCAGATAATCCCTACTACCTTACTTTTTCTATATATAATCGTATGATATCATAGAACTGTTTGGAGCACATTGTTTGATGCTGATGGTACGTCAAGATTTTGTCTAAATAAGTACTTAGTGGTAATAATACTCAGTCAGTCAGTCAGCTACAACGTAGGACCAGGCACATGTATGCATCGGCCCAGGTTGCCATACCTCATTAGCACAGCAAGATGAACACTGGATTCATAGGAGTGGTTAGGTCAAAGGTGGTAATATATAGGAGAAAGATTGCAATAAGGATATAGTATAGGAAGAAAGAATTAGTTCGTAGAAAGAAAGATGTGAAGTGATCTTAATCTCTTAGTTTAAGAGAAGACAGAGAGTGTATACACCGACGCCATTGTGATCGATTCTGAGCCATGTCACCAAGGGTCTCCAACCATTGGTTACGAAAGTCACGCGGACCCCAACCAAGTAGTCTGCATCTACCAACATGGCTCAGACTAGAAGTTAGTGACTTCAGGCACTGATGCCACGTTTTGGTTTGGCCGCCCCTAACGGTAATAATACTACGATACATTTCTTTAAGACCTGAATTCTTTAATATTTCCACAAATCCCCTGACGTTGTTAGATTGTTGTATGGACCAGACCTTCAGGTCAAAGGGTTGGGGAGTTGTCATTTACAAAAATCAACTGCCTCGGTCTGGGAATTCAGCTAGTATTCGAGACCACACACAAATGTACTGAATAGTTATACAGAAAATGTTATGCTTTCTTTGCCTCATTATCTATACGAACGATATTTGCAGTCTAACAATAAACTTCGAACACACAAATAAACAAAATGAGAAACCAACGTAAACCGCAGACCACTTGTTGCTGCAAGGCGTTCTACCAACCAATATGGACTAAATACAAGGGAATGATATTGTTGTGCATTTTTCAAATATTATTTACTCCTTAACCGCAGCTTAGATAATAATGAATGATTTCTCAGACGTTAAATATACGTCATTTAATTAATATAGAAATCCGAACTTTAGTTTATGTATAACATTAAGGTAGTCGAAAAAAATTCACACCACTTTTGACTTTTATGTAGTTCTTAGTTAAATGGCTGTATTTCCAATATACTCTATAAGTAGAGACACAAAACTAGAAGCTTTCCAAACGGTAGGACTTAATATGTACTACAAGTTGAAAATTTACTGATTCTGACAGATATTAGATTCATCTTAATCCGACCACGATTCTCGCAAAACGGCATATATAGTAACATCAAGAAGTTTATCTGGAACGCTAGTAATGATATACTCCCCTCACTCATGATTTTACGATCAGGAATCAGAAACAAGTTTGAATGATGATTTTGAATTTTAACAAGTTTTATAGTGTGAAATGTCAGGTCACCGAAAGTCTATGGATCAAAAAAATCTTTAGCGAAGATAGTATTAATTATATCAGTATGTCGTGTTAAAACATGTATCTTATCATTGATATTACGGATGTAGTAACACATTTTCACAATACAAAGGCATCAGAAATTGGGATTTTAGTAATTGAAGAACCGACCACAAGAACTAGTAAACATACCTTTGGTTTCTCGTTTAATAAATATTTGAGACGTATACATGCTAATACTGTCTTGAAGTGGTACGACGCCAACGCTTTAAACCTTGATTGATGTGTCATCCAATATAACATATGGCCAGCAGTTTTCATACTCTACAAAGCGATGGAATTAGCAAGAAATAAGTGAATAGTACGAAAAATGTAGTAAAAGCATCTAAAAATTATCCCGTCCACATTATTTTGTCAGTTATTTTATTGGATGCAGTTAGTTTATCAACCTCTAAGGTGTCGATGTAGTTATAGTTTTGTTATGACAGTAAATTCATCATATTCAACATAGCAGAACCAAAATCTATTGAAATTATTGAGTGATCTATGTCCTAGTTATTCGACAGCTTGCTTTAGTCGTCTAACTGACTCAGTACTGCCAAGAACCGATTGGCTCACTTAAGTCTAAACTTGATTAGGACACCATTTACCGATTGATCTCAAGGAACATTCACAACGATCCGAGGGCATTACAGATTAGACATTAAAAATTCAGATATTAATAGCATTATTTACTTTATTCAGGGCGCTGAGACAGAGTGCAATACTATAGAGAAACCTGTGATCCTGGAATTGCTGAAATGAATGCGTTAATCACCTCATCTAACTGAAATCACTCAGGTCAAGTACGCCAACAATACAACTCAATGACGCTAATAAATATCGGGTTTACTGAAATCCGAATAGGTGTACCTAAAACATTTTCGTATGTGGTATTTATCTTTCTTAGAGTACAGATTAACAAGCATGTGAGAATCCGCCCATTAGGAGTAAAGAAATGATATATGAGAAAGAAACCAAGCATTTAAAACTACGACTACACAGTTCAAAAAAAGTTAAACACACTTTGATATGGGCTTCTAACAGTGACAACAATAAAGTAATTTACAGTTGTTTCCCCATAATAAGCAGGTTCCACTCATTAGTAATGAGTATACAGTACTTACATAATAAGAAATATTACCGTTATGGGTGTGAAGTCCCTAAATACAACTTGTGGGAAAGGAATTGCGATTATGTTATGCTATTCAGTGTGAACTCTGTACATGGATATACAATACATTTTTACCATGATTGTATTTAGTGACAAATAATTTCATAAATTATTTTTCAATTGTTTCGGGGACATCATCAACAAAGCTCCCACTACTAATCTGGCTCTTTTTTACTCAAGTTATCGGGGTAGGGAAGACGATAGTAGTCTCGTTTATCGTATTGGGATCAGAGTTGTGAAATATAAGTATAGCGCACAGACGTATTAATTGCTCAATCTATTTTTGTTAATTTACTTATAGAGTTGAAGGGGCTGGTTTGACAGCTAAGAGGACTGATTTTCAATTATTAGGTCACAAATCGAAATGCAGCACCACTTCAGTCTGAGTGATCAAGTTCTCTCTAGTTTTCATACAGTAGTTCAAAAGTAAGTGCACAGATTTGTACTTGATATGAGTTTCTTGGTACGTAAGACATGTCAAAAACGCAGCAACGTAATATTACTTTCGGAGGTAAATGTGAAGTACCCGTACAATCAAACTAAATTCTGAAAGTTATGAATAACCTATAACACTCTTAAGGTAAAATCAAACTTTGCTAAGTGAATGAGAATCGCTTTTTTAGAATAACAGTGCTAAAAATAACACTGGCCGTTGATTATAAATGAGAAGTACGAACCAATCCTGGCAAAATCACCTACTAGTTGTAAACAGTTAGCCATGATAACATTAATTTAGCAATATTAGGGCGAATAAAACGGTTTGGATCGGTGACTTAACAGCTAAACTAGTACATATTGCTAATGGTGACTTAAGCCACTGGCACTAACGGATAAGCATACGGAATAAATTACAACTTACACGAAAGATAAAAGAGTGATTTAACTTTTTGGCGAGATCCAAAGAACGTGTATCTAGCCACGTGATAACACGAGTTCGAGGATTTGATGTCTTCCTGTCAAACTACTCATACTTAGAAATAATATCTTACTTATCCCACAACAATAGGCTATTTCGCTGAACCGAAATACCTATACAATTGATCTGATCAGGGTTAATTTCTGCATCTACATGATTATCCACAAAAGCGTTGGTGTTACCTTGTAATACTTCATCTAACAGCTTACAAAAGGATTCCCATACAGCTTCTGGATCCAATTCGCAAGCACCATCGGACCCTTCAAGCCGAGGTACCTGGAAGAAAAAAATATTTGTAACATTACTTTTCAGGGTGTAGCTGTCTGTTTACATTTATCTAAATATTATTTCAAAAGACAAAATCGAAAAGTTTATTATGCAGAAAGAGTAAATGCGAAGGCTAGTTAAAAATCAAGCTACCCCAAATGAACTGGTTCGAATAGGTCCCGAGCTAACCCCATGTTTGCTGAAAATCAAGGGGGGGGGTAACTAGTAATCGAAAATGCTTAAGCAGGGACTAGAAGTGCCTGAATTATTATCTAGAAATAATATATACAATTATTGGCTTGGTAAAATGCTAAACTATAATGCAAATGATACAAATGTTGGTGAATACTTAGCTTGACAATTTTAATTTAAACCATAGATCACATCAGAGGCACCTTTTAACTCAGATAGAACGAAACAGTAGTATCGTAGGCGCTTACAGCAGATCCAGTTCACAGTCCAATAAGCGAATTTCTAGGACCGTGTAATATACATACATATATCATTGTTTAGTGTTGTACAGTTTAACAGACCTTAAGTCAGTCAGTAACAACGTAGAACTTTGTACGTACGTACATTAGTTCGAGTCGCCATACCACATTGGTACAGAGATGCAGTTGTCGATTCAAACCTCGTAGTGGTAGAGGTAGTAATAGTATAAGCAGTAATCGGAAAGATTAGGGTTTGAAGATGTTATTCAAGGGGTATAATTTAGTGAAATAAATTTGGAAAGAGAAAAAAAGAAGGGACATGAAGAATTCGAGAGATTACAATTTGAGAGAACACAAAGATTGGATGCACCTGCGCTACTGCAAACGATTTTGAGCCATGTCATTCAAGGTCTCTAACCATCGGTTGCTATCGTCTCGCGGATCCCAACCAGGTAGTCTACACCTACCAACATGACTCAGACCACTTGTCAGTGACTTCATGGACTTGTGCCATGTTTCGGTCTGGCCGCTCCTAGCTTTCTTCTAACCTACTCCTACACCATGAAACACCGCACGTCGGGGCAGTCGGTGGTTGGGCATACGTAACACGTGTCCCAGCCATCTCAACTGAAGTTTCACTACTTCATCAATTGATTTGCCATCCTTACCCAATGCCCGTTTCCTAACAACTGCATGAGTTACTCGGTGGTCCTAAGATATACGATCAATGCTTCGAAGACACCTATGATCGAATATTAGTAACCTACAAATATCCTCTACTCTTACCGGCCATGTTTCACTGCCACAAAGTGGGACAGAACAAACTGCTGTGCAGTAAACACGTCCTTCGATTGGTAGACGGATATCTCGCTAACGCCATAAATGACAGAAGTTGGCAAAAGCTAGTCGAGCCTTCTGTATCCGTGCTGACATTTCGTCACACACCAGACCACAAGGGCTGATGAGACTCGCAAGTTAAATGAAGAGGTCGACACGCTTAACTACTTCACTCCCTATCATTAGTTCGACTTTCGTAACCAATGGTTGGAGACTCTTGGTGAAATGGCTCAGAATCGATCACAATGGCGTTGGTGTATACACTCCCTGTCTTCCCTTAAACTAAGAGATTAAAATCACTTCATATCTTTCTTTCTACGAACCAATTCTTTCTTCTTGTACTATATCTCTATATGCAATCTTCCTCTTATTTATTACCACCTTTGACCTAACCACTGCTATGAATCCGGTGTTCATCTTGTTGTGCTGATGCGGTATGGCAACCTGGACCGATGCACATATGTACCTGGTCCTACGTTGTAGCTGACTGACTGACTGACTATCATTAGTTCGGGTGTCGATACAACCCAACCTAGAAGTGCAAAATGGTGCTTCAGACCTTAAATGGTTGTTTACTTCATAAGTCGAATGAACCATTTGTCCGTAAAATCTTCCAAGGACAACAAAATGATCTCAGACACCATTTATTTTTAGTTCGACAGATTCTTAAGAAACTCCGTTTATACTATCACGTCGAATAAGGCGTTATGTTGAACATACTGTGGAATTACCTCAAGGCATTCGAACCCGATTCCTGTTTTCGGGACAGAAATTTAAGATACGAACAATCGAACTACGATTGGAATTCATGATAAAATAAAGTGGCCGGACTGTCAAAAACGTAGGAAGCATTTCGTAAAACCTAGTGACATTGATGTTTAAGAACTTGCTGAGCGTATGGGATACCAACTGCATCCATTTTAATGTGTTCCTGTAGCCAATCCGTGGTTCCATGAAGTCCTATTTGAGTGTCTAAAATGGTTAGCCACTAACTAGTAGGTTCTCATGTAGAACTCTGTTTCACCTTATTCGATTTAGGAAGTCAGGTACTATACCAAATTTGTGGTTTCAAGTCGAGCATGTAAACGTACACCTGGCGAGTAACTTTCTAGTTACTGGAAACTGATGTGAGAGATCTCGGTTAAACTAACCCGGTATGATGGAAGATTCAAATAGACAGTTTGGTAATGTGCAAATTACGAAGTCATAAGACAAAACCACCAGACCCAGCTTCATAAATTGTTATGTATGGAAATGAAATAGACGGAAAAACGTTTTGACACCAATTTTATGTGACTCACTTTGGTGCTGCTACATCCGATGACCTTAAGATCCATAGTGTAGACCCTGGCGCATGCATGAGTGCTTCCGAAATCAACACCCAATATGAATTTTGAAACCGTTCGCTGTGAATCAATTTCAACGCAATAAGTCAAAAAGCAAGAAACATAAATGTCGAATTTATATTTGAAAAAAAACTTCTAAGGCATACATTTAAGTATTTTACATATCTTAATGGTCATGTTTGGGACTAGAAATGGCTATCGCTTTTGCAAGCTCCCTGACCTTGGCGTCCTGAATCTCAACTACCGTCATGAGCTCATTAACCCGACTAGTTAGCTGATCCAGTGTTTGTTGTATGCAATCATCCTTATTATGTTCTTTCCTTACTTGCCGGCGATATTCAAGCAGAAGGCAAGTGGCCCCAACCACAAAAATGATAATTTCCCCGAGCACTTCCGACCCAAGGTCAACGGCAGCATCTTCACTCAACTTGTTAACCCCCTTTGGTAATTCCAGACCCAATAATTTTAATTTTAGTCGGGTTTCCCACAAATGATATACTATTAATAATAAACTGCTATTTTAGAGAACTTACATTGCGCTGGAGGCAGGCACACATAGTTCCTGAAAAATGTATTTGTTTTGGCCTTGCGCTTTAGGTAGTTGGCCAGGGGCTTTCCTATTTGTTTTATAGCCAATGCTCCCAATTTAAATACCGGGAAAGCCCAACCATATGGTTCTAGTTGTAAAGTGCGCCTTTATTGGTTACTCATGAAACCTGTGAATGTACAATCCTCCAAACTTTTATTTCATTTAAGTAACCAGTACGTCAAGAATATTTCATATTATTTAGGTGTGTTATTGATTTTTCGACAAAGAATGGTGTATATTCCTTATCGATAGTTCATAAACCTGAAGTACCGAACAGCTAACTATTATCAGTTTCAGTTTGGAAAGGACAGAAGGCTTGATGACCTGTGTTAGTCCTGGCAATGGTGGTCTCTCAGTTGATCGAACTTCCTTTTGAAAGAGTCGACGGATGGAGCCTCAACCACGTGCTGAGGTAATGAATTCCACTCGTTGATGATTCGATGGGAAAGTCGACAGTCAGCTGACAAGTAATTTGTTCTGGGCTTGTGAACTTTCTTGGAGCGTCCTCGTAAATTCTCTGTTTCGGAAGACAAGAAAAATGAGGGCATATCGGTTGCGAATTTATTACTAAGCAACCTGAAAACTGTAATCAAGTCGCATCTAGTTTTTCGATATGACAACGAGAATAGGTTTAGTTTGGCCAGTCGAGAATCATACGGAAGCTTCGCTATTCCGGGAGTCAGATTAGTTGCTGTTCTCTTAACCTTTTTCATAAACTCACAGTCTTTTTTAGGCAGAGGCTAGCCACTTTTATGCAGTACTCAAGTTTTGGACGTACGAACACTGTATACAAAGTCAAGAACGTTTTAGCGTCGACATGACTAAAAGCCCTACGTATTGACCATAAGGTTCTAATACCTTTGGCGGCTATTGCATGGTAGTGTGCAGTAATCTTTAAGTCTTGGCTAGTGATGACTACTAAGTCATTGTGTGGCTGAACGACAGGTAGCTCAGTGTTATTCATCGTGTATGTATCTGTGCCTTGATGACCGATATGCATCACAACACACTTGGAAGTATTTATCGGCAACTGCCATGTTTGAGACCATTCAGATAATTTCCTCAGGTCATTTCGGAGTTCTAAGCTACCACCCTTACATCGTATCGTTCTCCATATCTTGACATCGTCAGCATATAGCAAGACCGATGATGATAGGAGACGAGGAAGGTCATTTACATATAAGAGGAATAACACTGGCCCCAAGACTGTGCCCTGAGGCACTCCACTAAGCACAGTTTCCCAACTAGATAACTTTGAGTTCACCCGTACTCTTTGTTGGCGTCCAACTAGGAAGTCTTTTATACACATCAATAAATTGCCTCCAATTCCGACATTTATTAGCTTATATAACAGCCGGTTGTGCGGAACTTTGTCAAAAGCTTTACTGAAATCAATGAAGGTGACGTCTACAGGTAGCTTTTGGTCCTTAAGAGCGCACCAGCTTTCACGAGCCACTAATAAGTTAGTCAGACAGTAATAAACTATTCTGAAACCGTGCTACTTCTCCGAAAGGATCCGGTTTTCATCGAAATACTTAAACAGCTCCTTCCGAATAATCTTTTCTAAGATTTTAACAACCACACTAGTTAGGCTGACGGGGCGGTAGTTCTCAAGTTTGTGTTTCGTACCTGTTTTGAAGACAGGACTTACTATGGCGTTTTTCCAGTCTTTTGGTAAACGACCCTGCGTAAAGGATAGGTTAAAGCATGTACTTAAAGGGCTTGCAATGAAGTTAGATAATTCCTTCAGTAGCCTAGGATGTAGTTCATCGGGCCCCGTGGGTTTACCTATGTCAAGCTTATTTAGCAGACCAAGGACATCGAGTTCTTTCATGGTCACGCTATCCAGTGTATGTATTGGGGGATCTGTATACGCCGACGGGAAGGGCGCTTCTATGGTATATACGTTGCTAAAGTAGTTCGAGAACACTTGAGCCTTACCAAAGTCGTCTTCCACTAATGATGAGGCAGTACTGTCTCCCTATAGTGCAGGAATATTTCCTCTTCTTTTTGTCTTTTGGTTTATATAAGAATACAAGCGTCTAGGACATTCTACTGATTCCTTAACAATCTTTTCTTCGTACAACTTTCTAGACTTACGGAGGGTCGAGGCACTAGTATTCCGAGCTTTTCGATACTGAGATTTTGCCTCATTAGTCCCCAGTAGCCAAAATCTATCCCACATTTTTCTTCTGTTACGGAGGAGGATGCGGACCTCCCTACTGAACCATGGTGGAGAGTTTCTTGGCCCACTTGGTACAGTCTAAGGGATGTGGAGTGCAGTAACCTTTAATATAAATTTCGGAATGCGTCCCAAGCCGTTTCAATCGAGGACTCTGGGTCTATTGTCCAATCTACTGACGATGCTGAGTAAATGATATATAGTATGTTTGCTTTCCAGACGTTAGATCTGGATTGGGCTGATGCGTGCTCGTGACCGACAGCTATATGGAAGTCAAAAGTTAAAAGTACGCGATCACTTTTACCTAGGGGTGGCATATAATGGAGGTTCGCAACGTCATCCTCATAGTGAGTCAATAAAATATTTAGTAAGGATGATTCACTGTCCGGGTCGTAACTAGTCGCTTATTTCACGTGTTGCACTACGGCACATGTGATAACCCCATCAACTAGTTCCTGCTCGAAGGAACTTTCTGACGGTTTATTTCGCAGATTTTCCCAGTTTACCATAGGTGCAATAAAGTCCCCTAGGATTAGACATCGACCACTTTGTGACCAAGTATTGAGACTGCTTAGCAGGACCTCACTTGCCCCGCAGCTTGGACTGAGATAGACCAACCCAATCACCAGGTTTCTGTGACTGCGATTATATCTGGCTTTGTAAAGTCAGTCTGCCACAACTGATTGATCACTGGGTGGCGATCAATTTCATGTATGTCTAGTGGTCAATCAATTGTGATTACATCTCAATCCTACAGGAGGTCGGTCGCGGATCGGATAGCTCAGTGGTAAAGTCTCTGACTATGAAGCTCAGCGGCACGAGATCGAATCCGCCAGACAGTACTCCGGGTCCAGGGTTTCCTGTCGACTACCTACAACCACCATCTAAAGAGTCAATCTGTACACCAAGTTCCGATCGCTTATTGAGTAAGCTTCGGGCGTTAGTGTAGCAGATCCAAAGCGTATTTAAGTGGCTTCGTGCTCCACCCACAGTGGCTTCGGCATCATTCTCTGTTGAAGCCTTACAACCCGAAAATTTACAATTTGTATGTTCTTTTTGCCAGTGTCTATTCTAAGTTGTAGTTCTTTTTCGGCTTTCCGTCTTTTTACGCGATCTGCCAACGGCAAGTCCTTGTGGATAAAACTACATAACCATTTAATTTATGTCCATTCTGTAAAATTAATTCGCGTTCATTCGAAGATTTGAATACTACTTTAAGCAGTCTGGATTGATTAGGCTTCAAGTTCGCTAGACTACCTAGTCTGTACACCTTTAGCAAGGTGACTCCGGGGATATTTTGAGGCATGAGTTGGTTAAGTAGCTGCTTTATCAGCACGATATCATTCTGAAAACGAGTTTTTGGTTCAGAGCTCTCACTCTCCTTGGTTCTATCAAAATAACTGATCTGTCACTGTGATCAGCCTTCGATTTACCGACTACTTTTATGGGGGCAGGATTCCCTTTTATATCGTTATGTTGTTTCTACCTTACAACTTGCACCCATTCGTCAACGTTGCTAGTAGAAGCAACCACAGTTGTGCCAAACATACTCCGGGATTCCAGAGGGTTGTCGACGATTTGGGAGATGAGGTTGTGTTTCCCGCTAGAAACCGATCGAGCCTTCAGATTGAGGCTTCTAGGCGTTTCCTACTGGATACCGTTTAGAAGACGGGGGACAGAAGAAACTTCTTGTCCTGAGTTTTTGGTTGAGACTTACCTCTTTGAAGACTTTTACCTCCTTTGGTCGGTGTTAGTCACCTGTTTTGGAACTCACCTGAGTATACTTCACACCAATTTGCATGTCTACAGAGCGATTACTGTTCAATGTGTCCCGACCACGCTCACCGAAACACTTTATTTCAGCATTTACCAATGAGATGTCCTCGGTTAGCAAGTTGTTTGCATCCGAACAGCACTGTTGACAAGGCCATACGCAACCGTTTTTACTGAACTGTTTGAAAGCCGCAGGCGTTAAATTCGTGCAAACATAAGATAGTTCATGGGGAGGTGTCTAGTATGATTTAAATGATTGTGGATCTAATAGAAGAAACTTTCGCTCAGTGAGCTTCAATGCCTGATAGTAGCAGACCACTGATGTTTCAAGTACTGGACCTATGTACGTGAAATTCGCAGATGTAAGTATTAGTAAATCAGTATGATGTACGTGTAGCGGTAAGAGAGTCCACAAAACAAATAGTTCTGTATGTCTTTGACCCTTATACTGGCCTCATCAGTTTCACTAGACACGTCAGCGACGTTTGCCACAATTATTCCTTTGTACACTATTTCGGCTAATGTGAACTCTAAATGCATAACCATTGACCGTGCTCAGAGAATTCTCTCGGATCTGAATACTTGTCCATAAATAACAACTAAAACACGAACTAAAAACTTATGGGTATTACTTGTCAGCATAGTGAATACGATTAATTATTATTATTATTATAAGGTTCTCAATCATATGACAGCTTTGCATCCCATGAACTTGTGTGTTTACTGTTCCATGAACCTTTTGCATCATCTTAGTTTTGTTTTAGGCAGGGGCTGACTGCTTGTGTGCTATGTGAGCTGAGCAAGTTGCGTGGGCCAAAATTTTAAAATTTCTTCGCTGGGCGTTCCTTTTGTCTGTTTTTAATTTTTTAAATCGAAGTTAGCAGTTTATGGTAGAGCAAAATATTACGTTTACACACTAATTCCATTGATTCGACATTTTACTATATCATTCAAATCCTTGTAGTGGTATTGGTTCTAACCTAACGACACTCGAAATGGAATATAAATAACTGAGAAAATTCAAGTTCATTACTCAGAGAGGGGAGGTCAGTTATGGTGGACGCAGGGATTAATCAATCCAAGTAACATGGCTCAGTCATGCAGGCTCGGTTATTCTGTATAACCTGCTTCTCGTATCAAATATGTTCGTCGGAAGTGTTATACGT